TCCAGCTGCACAGCTGAATGTGGGAGGGGCCGCTAACCTCACCACAAGCCAGGGAGTCCGAGCCGGCGTGAGTGAGAAGCCAGGCGCAGTGCGAGGAAGGGAGCCTCAGATATCTGATCGCAGCCTTACCGCTGAACGGACTCTGCGCGCTGAGAACCGGCCCGACCCGGCCTGTCTCCCCTGAGCCATGCATGCAGGGGCAGCCTCTCCGTCCCGAGTCCGGCCACACGGATCTCCAGTTCCCGGGTCGGCAGCTGCCTCTGCTTCACACTCGCGCGCCATGCAGAGCCGCACTGCCAAAGCCTCCAGGAAGGAGCTGGTGATCGAGTCTCCCCAGCAGTTCCGGAATGTCCCACCCATGGATCTGGAGGTGGAGTCTGTGCCACAGGTGACGGTGAGTCTCACCTGTCCCCCGTCCCCCCAAGAGGCTAACAGGGGCTTGAGCAAAAGCATCTTGTGGAAAACCACACCTTGAACTGCAGGACTGTAGTGGTGGCTAACGCTCTGTGATTTCCTTGTTGGTCTTTAGTGATGGCGGTCAAGTACAGGATAAAATTAGTGAAGAAGTGTGATGTCAGGCATCATAGGGGGCTGAGAGGTAACCGTTTGTTATGTCCCACTGTGACCTTGCTGCCGTCTGACTTCCCACCCGCTGTGTGGCTTTCATCGCCACGTGCCCTCATCTATGCGCAAGTGGCAGTCTGAGCCAGGCTCAAGGGCCCCCAAGTAAGAGGGGGGTTCTTTGTCTCCTGTCTGGCTGGAGGGGGGGATTCCGTAGGCAGCTTTGTACGCCTGCTGACGCAGGTTTGCGCACATGTGTGCACCATCCTTGACTGTCTGTCCTGTCTCCCATTTCTGATTCTTGAATGTGGCCTCCCTTGTGGAGACTTGGGTATAGTGAGCCCAGCTGCTCTGTACACAGTTGCATTTTTCTGGCCATCTTGTGTGCCAGTAGATCCTAAGGATCTGTCTGGCTGTGATGTAACCTCAGCAATGGTGATCTTATAAAACCAAAAGCCGACCAAGTCCAATCTGTCATCTGTAAGGAAACTTCCGTGACATGCTGAGTTTGACATCATTGATTGGAACAGAAAGGTCAGTTTTGTGCCTGGTGTTAAGTAATGTTATTACAGAAACATTTTGGGATAAAATGTCTGCAGGAAGGAACATGAATCTCCCCCATAGCTTCAGAGCTATAGCAGGTATCACCTGATGCCACTCTGAAATGCTTCAGAGATGTTTTTTGCAGGGGTCATCTCGATTTCTGTTAATTCTAAGCCCTACGCGCATTAAAGAGCATTAAAGGTGCCTGACCAAAAAAACTGCGATTTTCGCTGCATTGTAATGCCGTTCGGACTTCTCCGCAGCTCTTTTCCTGAAATAACGTCCTAAAGCAGGTAAATAAACATTTCCTTCGTAATCACTTTCGAGCAATTGTTTTCACCAGTTCCCCTCCACCCATGTGTTTGTTTGGCTAATTAGTTTTTATCCGGTTTAACCCACGTCAGTTCAGTCAAGTATTATTTTTGGCACATAACTCTGTTGATGCCGATTACTAAGAGCAAAAATAATAATAATATGCAGCCCTCTTGGGTCAGGGTGTGCTGAGAGGGTGTTAGACTTACGTAGCTCATGGCTGGACTCCAGCCTTGAGCCGCTGTCTGAAGTAACTGGTGCCGAAAGTCTCTGTTAACTTTGCCGCATCCAAGAGGGAGGCAGTAGCTGGAAGAAGTTTCCCAGACACCCTGGGGGGCTCCTATCATTAAGCCGTGGGCTTTTAGAGCACAGTACTGCTTGGGTGGACTTGGTGCTGGAACACTGTAGTCTTACATGGCCTGAAAGCAAAGCTTTGTACTTTTCTGGTTTTTATTGAGTTCATTGGTTTTACGATGTTGTTTGATAGCTTAGTGTTGTGTAAATGTTACCACGGTATGATTCATACCCCACAGTCGTAAAGCCGACACAGTCTGTGCCCAGTAGTATGGGTGGTATCCATTCTTAGGATGGGGCGTCTTCTTGGGACCTGTCAGCTGACCTTTATGGTTTTATTCTACAATCACCCAGTTTATTATTCGGTGCCAGTAGATGTACCAGAGTAGTTGTAGTAATTCTTTTTCATTTTGATCAAGAGTTCAGTTCTTTCAGCTCTGAGAAACTGGACAAAAATGGCATTTTTAAATTTCCCAGGGCTATGCTCCATGATTTTTTGTCTGATAACTGTGGAGTGTGGACATGTGACCATGGTCTGGACTGCCGTCTGCTACCCCCCAGCAGCTTCTAACCTTCGCAATGTCATGTGTATCTATGCTGCTGTCTGTTGCCCTATCGACCCTCATCTGTGTGGGAAAGGGAGATGAATATCATATAGCTTACAGTAGTGTGTGCCTGGTTCATTCTCTGAGTGTGTGTGTGTGTGTGCATATGTGTACCTGCGTGTGTGTGTGGTGTGCGTATGTATATGTGTGTGCTTATGCGTGCCTGCGTGTGTGTGTGGTGTG